TGTATGTATGTATATATATGAAATGTATAAAAACATTCGTGTAGTTGACATTTATCTGAAAAATGAAGAGTAAATGGAGAGACCTAGCCCTAACAGATTGTAAAACATATTTAAAATCACAAAAACTAAAACACTTTATTATGAGAAGGAAGACACATAGATCAGAGGGCAGAAGTACACACTAAATACATGGCCCAGCAATATGTAAACTTAGTTTATAATAAAAGCAGCACTTTAAATCATCAAGAAAGCCTGTAATATTAAAAAACTAAAAATAAAATTCTATGCTGCTCCTGCCTTGCAAGCACAAGATCCTATTTGATCCCAGTACTGCAAAAAGAGACTAAGATTCCATCTTACCCCAGAAAGAATGGCTATCATCAAGAAATCAAATAATAACAAATGCTGATAAGGCAGTAGGGAAAAAGAACCCTTGTACATGTTGGTGGGGATATAAACTAGTAGAATCACTATAAAAATCAGTGTGGAGTTTCCTCAAAAAACTGAAGACAGAAATTTAGTTCCACCTAGTTATTCCTCTTCTAGGTATCTTCCTGAAAGAGTTAAAGATGTCATATTACAGTGACATATACATACCTGTGTTTACAGCAGCACAATTCATAATAGCTAAATCTTAGAATGTGTCATTGATAGATGAATAGATACAGGAAATGTGGTATTACACACAGTGGGGTATTTTTCTGCATTAAGGATAAACTTGAGGTGACAGTGCAGCAATGGCATCTCCTCTGGAGTCATTGGTGGAGGACCCAGTAGAGGATCCACTACAGATCTTTGTGGGAGTTTTGTGTTTTGTTTTGTTTTGGTACCAGGGATGCAACTTGGAACCTTTCGCTTGCGAGGCAGGCGGTGGAATCATGAGCTAAATCCCTGGCCCTTTATGGGAGTTTTTGAGAAATAAGAGAGCACAGTGCTACAACTGCAACAGTATGGCTCACACAGCTTGGGGTGTGCCTCATGGGAGTCTGACATTTTCCGTTCCAAATACTTGAAAATGATTGTTTTGGGGTGATAGGATCCATTCACTGAGCTGGCAGCTGGTCCTGGACTGTGCTCAGGCACTGAGGCTGTAGGGTCATGGCCATTGACTTGGGGCAGAGGTTGTAGTCCTTAGTCTTGAGGAATCACAAGACTTGCTGAAGATGACTATTCATATGAACAAACATCTTGCCATTGGTTCTGTTCAAGCCAATGGATCAGAAATAAAAGACTTTCCTTCTCCACCAGGACTACATACTGATGGCTGACTGCATGTATCAGTTAGGATTCACAAGAGGAATAGATTTTATAAAATGTGTGTGTGTGTGTGTTTTACAAGGTAGGCTTACAGTGGCTGCCTGCAGAGTGAAATGTAAAATAATGAAAAAGGGTCATCTGCACAATGGAACTCTCAAGGGTTCAGTCGAAGGACTGGAGCTAACTGCAGAGTTCCATGCAAGTTCGTATCAGGAAGCCAAAGGGTCTGCCCTAAATAACTAGAGTCTGCACTGGAAGCCTGGAGATGGACATCCAAAGGCAATGGCAAAGACTGGAGCTCCTCCAAAGAAGCAGAAGCACGTCTTTCTTCTTTCCCTTTTTACTTCATCCAGGATACAAGCCTATTGGTTGGTGCAACCCACAACCTGCACAAGTCTTCTGTCTTCCGTAAGTCAATCGTCTACACATACCCAACTGTGCTGTACCAATCTGCTAGGCATTTCTTACTCAAGTTGACCCCACAATTAACTATCACAATCTACCTTTTGTCATCTTGACAACCAGGCACATTTCCTTGAACCATACTTACTCTCCAGATACAAGTTCATAATTATGCCTACCATGGTACAACTATCCTGCATATAAACAGAAGCACATGAATTCCCTCTCCAGAATAGAAGGAATTTTTTTGGTAATGCTTATTCCTAATATTTCATAACTTAAACATTATAATATAGGTTTAACCATACTTAAGAACAGGGTCTGAAGATTTAGCTCAGTGGCACAGGGCCTGCATGGCAAGCACAAGGTTCTGAGTTCAGACCCCAGTACCCTCCAAAGAATATATTGTCTATCAATATTATGTTGCAAAGGAAGAAAACAAATATATCTGATTAATATATGTGTATATATATGCATAAACGTAATAACAAAGTAGGAGTGAACAATTATAATTAAAATCCTCATTTCTGTAACTGGTCACACAGTTATAACTGGTATTTATAACTATCTTCTGTATTCCCTTGGCCTTCAGCAAGCACCTCAGGAGGTCTCAGTTCTTTTCCTGACAGTTCTGAGTCATTTGTCATCCTGCCTGGGTTGGGTTGTAGTTTCCCATTGACCTTAATAACAGGACATGATAATACTAGGAGGTATCCTAAGGCATCTCCTACACTCTAAGTATATTCTTCCTTTCCTCCACTGTCCAATTTCCCCCTGATAGTCTGGATCAGTCACTTATACCAACACTGTAACTTCCCTTTGAGCTTGTTTACTCAGAGGCATGAGGAACCCTAAATGACCAGGGGGAAGTCTTAGCATCTAGTTCAATGGAATCATTGTAATAGAATTATTACAATCATTACAATGGAATCATTGTAAAAGTCTTTCCC